AATTAACTGCAACCCAGTATTTTACAGGCAAACAAAGAAAACAACAAAGTTGTCAAAAATAATGAAAAGTTACCATAATGTACTGTATATCCTGTATAAAATTTACCTATGACCTATTATTCAGTGCAGAACCTATAGGTAATTCACTCATTTGATTTAACAATCTAATAAATACTTTTTCTCAGCAACAGTATCATAAAAAAAAACCATTTTGATCATTTTTAACAGTCATATTACAGCCTGAAACATGTGATTGTAATGCTTGACAATTAAAACATGAAAAAACTGGCAGGAATGCCTCTGTGCTTGAGCAATGTGAGTATTTGCATAGTAGATGGATCAGTATATGGAAAATAACCCCCTAACCCTAAAAAAATGATGCAAATGGTTTTTCAACTGATTTTGATACCTGTAGGTGCCCTTAATAACATATTAAAAATCTGACTTCAGGAAAGGGGTCATTTTCAAGATGGCGTCCAAGATGGCCGTAAGAAGCTAACTCTGGCTATATCTTGAGTACTATTTAGCTTAGAAAGATGTTGTCAGTGTTTAATCAGATTTAGAGGTCACTGGATGATGTATATCTCACTACATTTTCATTTGATCAATTTCCAATAAATATTTTCAAAGATATTATATGCTTATTAGCTAATTTCAGACAGGCTGAGATTTCCAATATTCGTTAGTTAAGTCCTACTTAAGACCACTATGAAAAAATTACTTTACAATCCTTTTCCTCCTGCCCTCTTTGAAGCCAGGAACATTTTCCGAAAGGCTGATAAGCCTCAACTAGTTCATGCCATCAGTGAGCATGCAAAGGATGCCATCCTTGATTCATTTCCAAAAACAGAATATCACGTTGTTGATGGGGGCTCATTACTTCATCGAATGCCATGGAGACATGGAGAAAGTTATGGTGGAATCACACGCTCATATGCTGACTTCACAATCTGGCATTATGGTTCAGCCTCAACCATTGTCTTTGATGGCTATGAAGAAGGGCCAACTATTAAGGACAATACACATCTGAGGAAAGGACACAATATTCATCCAGTTGTCAGCTTCACTGCTGATACAGAATTCTCTGGGAAGAAGGAAGAGTTTCTTTCAAGAGATGTCAATAAACAGAAACTCATCAGGATTGTGAGTGAGGAACTGAGAAAAAGCGGTTGCACTGTAATCAATGCAACTGGTGATGCTGATGTTGACATAGTGAAAGCAGCGGTTGAGGCATCTCTTCTGCGCACAACTACTCTGATCGGAGAAGATACAGATCTCCTTGTCTTACTTCTTTAAAATACACAAGAAGATAATAAGAGTCTGTACTTCAGATCAGACAGGTCGAGAGCTGCAGGTAGCCCTAAAGTGTATGATATTAACCATGTCAAAGAAATTCTTGGACATGAGGTATGTTCTCAGTTGTTATTTGTCCATGCCATGACAGGTTGTGACACAACATCTCGGATTTTTGGTGTGGGAAAAAAGACTGCTTTCCAGAAGCTTTTAAAAGGAGATACTTTCCTTCAGTCATGTGCTAATACTTTTACCATCCCAAATCAGACCACAGAAATAATCGATGAATTAGGATGCCAAGGAATGGCTGTACTCTTTGGTGGGAAGAACACAGATTCTCTTGCAACATTATGGCACAACATCTTCAGCAAGAAGGTTGCTTCTGCTTCATCATTTGTAGCACCTGAGCGCCTGCCTCCAACTGACTCTGCTACTGAACTTCACTGTCGCAGAGTATACTACCAGGTTATGATCTGGATGGGAAAGGCAGAGGGTATGCATGCCAAAAACTGGGGGTGGAACTTGCTGGATAATCAGTTCATCCCAATCATGTCAAGAATTAATGCTGCTCCTGATAATCTACTGAAAGTTATTCATTGTAACTGCACCAATCCCTGCAAGACACACCGCTGCTCTTGTAGACTATATGGATTACCATGCACTACTGCCTGTGGATCCTGTCAAAATCAAAGATGTGACAATCCACACAACAAATTCCTTCCAGAAGAGTCAGATGAAGAGGATGATGAATGATGAATAATATGAAAGGTTGTTTAAATCCTATTTTTAAATTTGGTGAAAAGGATTATATAATTATTCAATTATTTTATTACTAACAGGAAATACTTATACTGACAAATATTGACTGATGATACTAATTGGCTTACAGGGTCTAAAACCTATTATTTAAACTCAAATTCAACCTTCTAAGCTGGATAGTACTTGAGATAGACCCCTTTTAAGGCCCTGGCGGCCATCTTGGACACCATCTTGAAAATGACCCCTTTCCCAAGGTCAGATTTTATTAGATTTTTAGTATGTCATTTAGCAGGTCCAATAGTAATAGAATCCATTTATAAACCTTTTGTATCAGTTCTTTTGAGGATATATTGACCCGTCTATAGGAAGCGCCAGAGGGTTTCGTAGTTTCCTCACTGGAAGCAGAAGTGACAGAACTCAATGCGACACCTGAGGCATCAGACATTCAGCTGGGCCATTAAAAAGCAGCTTTGTTACGAATTATGCTGTTGTTGGGGCAAAAAATAGCGGTCAGATTGCCAGAAATGTTGACGACGTCTGGAAGAAGTAAAGCGTTGCTGGGATGTATTAGGAATGCACGTCTAGATTCTTGTGGGCTGAGCCCACTTCATTACGGCATTCAGTGGTCACTAAGAACCCAGCGGAGAATTAAAATTAAAACATATGTGGGACTGTGGTGTTCTTCTTGTGAGTTGGATGAGTCAGGCGAAGGCATTGGGAGAGGTGGGGAACAACAGTAGGTACGGGCGCTGCGTGCTTCTCACGTGGTCATTTGTGTGACGGCTAGTGGTGTTTAAGCTGTGAGGGGAAACAATTCCAGGAGGTTTGAAGTTCTCTGTTAGAAACTTTGTGGAAAAAACCTCAAAAAAAGAGCCCTGTAGCCAGGAGGTAATTCCGCTAACGGACCAGCCTCCTCTGCCTGTGTCTCAGAAAATGGTTTTCTTGGGTGTAACTTCTGTCGTTCCCCTGGCTCGGGTGGGCAGTCCCAAAATATGCTTCCATTTTTTTATATATTATTTTCCCGTTTGAAGACAGAGAACGCCACTCAGTCTTATTGAGCCACTGCTTGTAAGTCTGACAAATGACTGGATATGTAACATGTTTGTTTTTTTGTTTCAATTGTCATTTGTTGACTCATTGGAATAAATATCCCCTGCATGCATTCTCATGCAAAAAAAAAACAACATTTCTATTGATTAATCTTCCTATAATGTATAATATGCTGATAAATGTTGACTCTGACAGGAATGAAACATACCAGCATTCCTAAACTTGAACATACAGGTGGTAAGAAATTGGAATACACTTCTTATGTTAATACTGACCTTGCAACTACTGACCAGGCTTTGATGGATTCATTGACTGCACTGGGCTGCATGTGCATATGTGTGTGGGGGGGCGGGGGGTTAGGGGGCTGGTGGCTACCAGCTGTGTGGCTGTCTGCAGGCCAAGAGGAATGCTGGCATAGGCGGCCAGGGTCGTGCCCCCCCCCCATATTGGTGAGTCTTCTCTGTGGAGGAGCAGGAATTTCAATAACAAAGGCCCCGGGGGGGTTAGGCTAGATTTTTTAATGCTTCTGTCGCTGACAAACACACAAGGTCAATAAAGCGTTTGGAGCAGAAAAGTAGTATATAAAATAAATGCAAGCCCAACAGCATATTCATCATGGGTCAGGCCAGGGATGACATTCAGTAAAGATGGAGCCAGTGTTATGAGGGAGCTGTATGATTAGAAAATCTCAATTGAAAACCAGTTATGAAATTACGAATTCTGCTTTCCATTGAGGATTGTGAATATTAAATAAAGATATTTAACGTTTACCAAGTCATGTGCACAGGTATCGAGGGTAATACGAATACAGTGCATAAATAATAAAATGAAAACCAGAACATCGGTTAGTGCAGACTGCTCGGTTTTTTTTCGAGAAGTCTCAAAGAGAACACCTGCTCTTAAAAAAAGGGAAAGCGAAAAACAAACAACAAAACGGTCAGACACTAGCGCCGATCGTAAATCTGCGGGACACCCGGCAGACGTTCGGTCGTTGTTACTCAACTGTCGGCAGCAGTCTGAATATTTTAGCTGCGCTATCTGCTCGTCCACCTGCTTCATTGTTTTCCTGGAGCAAAGTCACATCTCTTATCGGATACCATCTTCACCACCTGTTTGGAACTCTTGGGTAACAAGCCCGAGATATTTCATCAACAAATAGTTATTGCCATTTACAAGTAGCTGACAGCCAGGTTTTGAGACAACCTGTAACAAATGTCCTTGAAAATCCGGCAATAATAATTAACGGTACTGGGGTGGTGCTTTTGGTATAATAGCAACAATAATAATAATAATAATAATAATAATAATAATAATAACAATACTTATTATTATTATTGTTATAAATAATAATGAGTCATATTATAATACTAAATATAATAATAATGATGATTGTATATTATTATTATTGTCACATGAAGTCCGTGATAACAGCAACAACCGTTACAATTGACTATTACTTTATACTTCATCACATTTTCAGACTGTTTTAACTTAAACATTGTAGGCATGTCATGATTATGGTTCTGTAATTGTTAAATTGCCAAAACTGAACGACACATCACAAGTTTTTAACATTAAGCGAAATGTAGTCTAATATAGCGTAAATCGGACACATCCAAAGGTATACGATTATCGTATTGAAGTTACGAAATCATGTGTAAAGAGTTTTTAAAATATATATATAATTGAAAAAAAACACGTGCATTGAAACAACAACCACTATACCTAATAATATGCCAATGTAGGCGTGGTTAACCACTAAGACCACGCCCACCCATGATCAGTTCTCGTAACTTTCAGACATATATCCTTATAGCTCCGCCCAGCTGGCGTGGCTTCGCTGCTGGGAAGTTTATAGACATCCTTCTCCATCTGTATATGCTACATAGTGTAGTTAGGCAGCCGTTTCAGGTAGAATAGCCATCAGTATAGCTTCGAAGTAGGCTATTAATCTGTAAAGGAAAATAAATAAATAAATATATTTAAGCTGCCGTTTCATCTATTTTCGCCATTCGTCGTTCATTTATGCTTTTTGAAAAAAAAGCGAGAAAATGCTAAAAAATTCCGGGAAGAAATTCGTCATTCCCATCGTGGGAACTACTGCAACCTGTCTGTTAGTGCTGTTAGTCGCCTTAGGGCATCGAGGCATCAGGGTGGATGGGATGCAAAGAGAAAGAGATTTGGGAATGCGATCGCTGCAGAGTTTGGAGAGCTCGGTGCAGACAGAGTCCCGGGACAGTCCTCAGTCGGGACGTAGGAATGGTTTCTCTGCCTATTTTTCCAAGTTAACTCGGGAAAGGAGAGAAGTGGAGAAGCCCGAACCGCAGATGAACCCGGTAACCGAGACACCCCCAGCGGAGCACATAACCCCGAATGATATCTTTTTAGCAGTCAAGACCACTAAGAAGTTTCATCAGCCTAGACTGGATCTCCTGCTTGACACCTGGATTTCCAGAAACATGCAACAGGTAAGGAGAGAGGGAGCTGGATTCTATATCGAAAGTAACGTATTACAGCCTGAAGTTGTATACGGCAAGCTACCCATGACTATTACAAGTAAGCAAGGTAAAACAGTGTAGTAATAAACAAGTCACCCATATGTCTGACAAATTTATGGAAGTAGTTTTCATATTAAAAAGTGTTGAGCTACATATTTGCCAATACAGTATGTGCAGGATAAGTTTTGGTTTCATTGAATGCTGAACATACCATCGGGTTTGTATTCACCTTATTCATTATGAAATATGGACAGAGGAAAGAAAAAAATGTCACTCTTCTCGTATTGTCGTTTGATTTCCTGAAATAATTTATGCACGAGGCTTCCATATGGTATCGTAAAAAAATCAGGTAGGCATATTAAGGCTTTTTTTTCTCGTTGCACTGAAAAGACAGACTGTGTGACAGAATTCCTCCCCCCTCCCCGACACACAAAATCAGACCCTCTGCTACCTCAAAAGGCATCTCTTGAGAACATGGGGACCAGTTCCCAGGGGACCACGCACTACCCTCCACCCCCACCCCTCCCTTCGCCCCCAGTCTCCTTTTTATTCTGGGGGGCTCATAGGAATACTGGGTTTGCTCTGCAGCGTCGGGTTCATTCTATCCTCTTGCTGAGTGAAACAAAAGCCCCCTTTTCGAGGGGCAAAGAAAAGCTTTCCTCGCTCCTAGTGTCACCCCCCCTCTTTGGGAACGTGGGAGTCCACGCCGCCTTCTGTTTTGTTTGTGGAGAAGCAGGGGGCCCCGGCTGTGTGTCGGTCTAGGACCAGGGCGACAGCAGGAACGGGGGGCTTCGCCCGCCGGATGCGTCTGACAAAGTAGAGCATCTGCTGCACACGTTAAGCTCCAAGCGGAGCGGCTCTCGGATGCTTCCGGACAGGCATATTCGGCTGGCTGGGGGGGGCGTCAGCATCCCTATGCTCATGTAGCTATAGCTCATCTGTGTTCAATAGCAACCCAGAACTAATATGTGCTCTGTGTAATGTAATACAAATGTAATCCAATCTAACAGCTGCACTTGTGGCACTGACACACTAAATGCAGTTTTAAAACATTTTATTAGCTAGCTCGATTCAGTCAGTCACGCCGCAGACTGTATAGCGGGCCCACCAGCGTCGAGCACATCCGCCTCCGCTTTATGCAATCCATCCCACCAAGAGTGATGTCAGCCAGCCTGGTCTGAGTCAGTCAGTGTGACCGACCCAGACCCAGACCCGCTTAGTCGGGGTCGGAACCAGACTCATGCCCCCTGTTGGTAGTTACCTGAATGGGCGTCCCAAGTAGCAGTGTACATGTGCATTGAAGTTACTTACTCTAGTGTGAGGGACATGAGGGGAGTTAATGGATGCTTGGGGGGCGGCAGCTGGCTGGGGAACAAAGCAAATAAGAAAGACACAATCGCCTAGGGTACAACTGGGAGATTCGGGGGGGGGGTTGGTGCCAGGTGGCCATGCGGCAGCAGACAAAGGACATTCGATTCCCATCATGCAAATCTTTGCTTTCTTAATATAGAGATACATATACCCACAAAGAAGTAGGCAGTTGGTGTTCAACAGAAAAGAATGCGGCACTCTGACTCATGGTGATATGCACATACGAGTGTTAATGTTTGCTTTCAAGACGCGACCTTTGCTCTCCTGGAGTGTTTCACCACCCGCCGACGCGAACTAGGCAGACGGAGCCTCAGCTGCCCCACGTTTCATGTGGCACCGCGGTCAGGAAATTCAAGCGCAGCGGGGAGCAGAAAGACCTCCGCCTTGCTGGTCTCCATGTCTCGTAGAGGGCCCGGCCTGGGCTGCTGCCGTTGGCACACCGTGGGCAGTTCCTGCTCAGGGCAGTGCCAACCCCGCTCTGTGTTTACAGACAGAAAGAGGCATGGCGAATGCCAGCATGTAGACGATCCTTTTACACACCTGATATTCTGTCTGCATTAATTAGGCTTCATTGGTATCACAGTCCCATTCTGGTACAGACTGCCTGCTAATACAACACATACATGGGTGTTGGTGGTCCAGTGGTTAGGACGCTTGCCTCTGGACAAAGAGATTGCAGGTTCGAGTCCCACCTCTGGCACTACCATCATTGGGTCCCTGACCAAGATCCTTAACCTCAACTTGCTCCAGGAGGACGGTCCATGAATTAAAAAAAATGGAAGTCATTCTGGATAAGAGTGTCTGCTAAATGCTGTAAATCTAATACAGTGACATTCTGGTACAGACCACCTGGTAACACTTGGGGTGGCACAAATAATGCATTAGTACACTTACTTAATACATTAATTAGAAATCAGTTATATATTGACTCCATGTTCATTCATCATTAATCAATCATAATGATTCATACATTTAATGCTTTTACTATATTTGTTCATGATGTGTACATAAGTAGTAACAGTTCTAAGTTAACCACCGGCTTTGTCAAGGAAATAGTTATAATGACAGCATGAATATGCCCTTTTTTTGTTCTATCGCTGAGCTAACAAGTTCAAACTCAGTTACTTAGCGATTAGCAATGCTTATTATTACTGGTAGGCTTGCTGACATACACTTAACAGAAACGTGCAGCGTTTAAAAGAAACATAATGCAACACATGGCAGGAATCTCAGAAGGATGTTTTTGCTGTGGGCCCTGTGCTTGATGAAGGATCCGTGTCTTCAAATAGAAATTAATTAATTGTACTAAATAAAGCATTTTATTAATTATTTTTTAAATCTGGATTGTTCTTTTACAGCTCCTGGTGTTTTTTTTTATTCTTCCCCTCTGGAACAATGCGCTTCCCGCAGTGTGAAGGGGGTGTGAACAATGAACGTCTGCGGCTGACGCTGGCTGTATCCGTGCACAAACCCTCAGACTGCAGCCTGTTGTGTCTGGGTCAGGGTTTAGGTGCTGTTCTTCGATGGCGTGTGGCTAATTAGTGCTCACAATTAGCATACTCGTCACACTCTGTGAGGCCATTGGCTCAATTTATCCAGTCAGACGAGTCCAGCAAGTAAGATAAAGAATTCAGACGGACTCAGAGCAGACAGATGTCGCACCTGGGCTGATGGGGAGACCGCAGTCGCAGGAAAGGCGTTCCCCAATTCCAGGAGCGGGGTGTGTAGGGCAGTCGACTATGTCACATGACCTTGGCTCAGATGGCACACGGCGAAAATGAAATCCCATCAAAGACTTCAAGGGAGGTCAGGGAAGGGCTCTCGATTTCGGACAAAAGAGTGCGGCTGCAGTTCCTGGCTGGGAGACAGGAAGTTGAGGGTGTGCGTGAGGGGGGGGGGTGCAGCTCGCAGGCTTTGCCCTGACTTCCTGCAGAGATGGGGCTGGCCGGCAGCCAGTCTGCACACCCCAGCCCTCACCTCGCCACGGCATCTCTGCAACGACTGGAGTCTCTTTCATTTCCAGCTTTCATCCGTTACTCTCATCCGAAAAGAAGCCAAGGTTAGAGAGTTACACACAGCTGGCTTGACATGCCATTAATAGCCAGCCAAATAAACGATTGCAATAGACTGCAGTTAGACCAGTAAAATGTTTGGGCATTAAACATAATATTGCACTTATGAGGTTGAGGATTTAATGTAGTGGATTGGAAACTGGGGGGCTTGGACAAGTTATCCCATAAATTCACACATACACGTTTTCTTACGGTTCGCAGAGCGCATTCCTCGAGTCTGCATATTCCTCAAATAACTCCGGGTCCCCTGGCCCCCGGGACCGGGGCTTTACTGCAGGGACTTCAGAGGGACACAAGAAGAGAAACAAAGCACGTAACCATGTCCCCCCCACCCCGCTTCCCCTTATCCCTGGGGAGCCCTCTCTAGTTAACCACTGCAGCTGTATGCTAATCAGCCAGAGCATTTTGGAAATTTACTCACCAGGAGGTTTAACCCAGCTGGAAAACACACCCCATTGTTCTATTAAAGAGAGATAATGTGTGTATGGGAGGCAGTACCGCGCGCGGGCACAGGACTGAGTTAGGGGTGTGTGCTCGGCCCCTCCGTCAGCACCCCCAGATCGCGGTCGCCACCTGCCCTGTGCCGATTAGCCTCCCTTTCAGCGCGACTCAGAGCAAACACGGCTGTCTGGGCTCTTTTACAGCGGCACAACCGCTGCCCTCTGTTAAGCAAACAGAGACGTCAGGTCGGGCATGACGGGGCATCGACGCGGCTTTAACTTCCCTCCAGGCAGCGGACGCCTAGCAGAGTTTGATATCGGGTGGGACGAATCTTACATTGTATTTATTGTGGGGGACACGGATGAAGGGGTGACGGGGAGACGTGGATGCCATCGAGGGCTGATCATCAGGCCGGTCAGCAGGAAAGGAAAATCTGCAAGGAGTAATATCGGCATGTCCGAACATGTGGGGGTGGCGGGGGGGCGGGCGCTGGTCTCGTGTGCCAGCTGCCACTTCACCTGAGCTGGAAAAACAGACAAACAAAGATCGGCATGAGGCCGACTCTCGACTCCCTTTGATCCGCTTGCTACTGGCGTGCGTGTTAACACCCCCGCCCCCGACATGAGCGGCCCCACCAGTGCTCCCCCACACCTGTCGGGGCTTATCAGACAAAAGGCTGCCAGCCTTTAGCACTGGCTATTCTTTAAACCGGGGGAGTGGCTGCTGGTTCACTCGATCCCTCACCTGCTCGCTCACTCTGTGTGCTATTTATTGTTTTTCTTTATTTATTGAATTCTTGGCATATTTTTGTGTGTTTTATGCATGTTCAAACCTGAAAGTGATACAGCAGTGAGTAATTTTCTGAGGAGGTTCATTGAATCACTCATGCAGAGATTCTTGTGAAAACTCATTAGTGGGCAATGGGACATTTGGGGTTGGGGAGGTGCTGCTCTCTACCTCTTTGTTGAGTCTGGGATGCTGTGGGAGCACTGGTGTGGTTGCCATGGAGAGTGTGAAGCCAAGCACAAGCTTTTCTTTGCTGCGATCTTTCAGTGCCTGTCTGGCTTGTTTAACTCACTAAGCACGACAGAGAATGAGGACAATGAGTACCGTTTTGAAGGTTCCTTCTTCACTTGTGTCCTGCAGACATACATATTTACAGACGGGGAGGATGAAGAGCTGAAGCAGAAAATAGGTGAGATAGCATCACTTTTTAAGGCTGGAATTTGAGTGCAAGTGATCACACTTTAGGGAAGTGTTAACTAATTACACGCATGTGGTGGTTTTAGTTACACAAAAATCTTCTGAGGGCAGAATGGAAAATGATTGGTTCAGAGATATAAGCAATCAGATTGTAGAGGATTGGGTCCAAACAACTAGAGGAGGTACTGTAGGGCCAAGACATCCTCTAGTTGCCTGGATCCACCTCCTCTACAATCTGGTTATCTATTTGAACCAATCAGGTTTGGTTCTGCCCTAATTTTTTATGTATTTTTATGCAAGTGAGCTAATTGCACAGAATACTCTTGGTAGCATCAGCATCCTGTAAAATAAATCTTATAATAGTTTTTGATCAATCCTCTTTCTCAGGGATATTAACTTTCCTCCATGTTGCTGCACAATAATTCTTATACAAATCCCAGCATTGATATCACCATTGATTTCGGTGTCTATTGGGTGATACCAATAGACACTAAAAGTGAACAGTAGGAGGCAATGTCACTTCCGATGCACATTAACTTTCAGAATAACCCCCCTCCAACACAGGAGACCACGCCATCAACACAAACTGCTCTGCTGCTCACAGCCGGCAAGCCTTGTCCTGCAAGATGGCGGTGGAATACGACAAGTTCATAGAGTCCGGCAAAAAGTATGACGTTTCTTAATCTCACACACAGTTTTAGTTCTGCTCTCTTTAACACGAGGGATACATGTAGTCTCCAAGTCAGAAGGGTTTTTGGGGGACCTGAGTCATAAAGCTTTCTGTGGACAAACTGTGCAGTGAAAAGGCTCGCTAGCTTGTTTAACAGTCTAATGATTATATTCCAGAGTAGGCTGGTCAGTAACTGTGATCCTGTCATTCAGATGGTTCTGTCATGTGGACGACGACAACTACGTGAACACGCGGACCCTGGTGAAGCTGCTCTCCCACTACCCTCACACTCAGGACATCTACATTGGCAAGCCCAGCCTGGACCGGCCCATCGAGGCCACTGAGAGACTCGGTGACAGTAAGATGGTGGGTGGACGCCAGTGCAGCGATCACTGATTTGCATGAGATCTGAAAAGAGGAAAGAAATCGCTGAGGGCTCAAGGTCTGTTTTCCCTAAATTACAGAGGCCAGTGAGCTTTTGGTTTGCGACTGGTGGAGCGGGTTTTTGCCTGAGTAAGGGCTTAGCTCTGAAGATGAGCCCCTGGGCAAGGTGAGTCAACGTTCCCATCAAAATGTCAAGGGATCATCAGGTACAGTCCTGAGAGACCATTCATTAGCAAAAGAACACTGCAAGCTGCTTAGGCATCATCTTAGTTTAGTGTAGTTAGTTTGAAATTTATTGTCATATGTACAAAGTACAGCGTATAGAGCACAATGAAATTCTTACTTGAAAACCCCTGATAGGATGATTATATTGTATCCCCTACAAATCAACATATTTCATATAGCTCAATTTGGAGCAGCAAATAATGAGACATGACTAGATGATTTGGTAACACTATTAATTGCACATTCATAATGGCTTTATAATGCATTCATAGAACATTAACTGCACCTTCATAATGCATTCACAATTCATTCACGTTCATAAGCATCATGTCAGTATACCTTAACATGTCTTAAAGCATTCCATTCATAACACTTTCAATGAACAAAATAATTTTTTTAATGTATATTAAAGTAGTCATTAGAATTCTATAACCGTAAAATGTTTGTTATTAACGTACATTAAAGTTGTCATGTCTTCTTCATTGAAAGTATTATGAGTACTTACTTTAAGACAGGGGTGGGCGATCTTATCCGCAAAGGGCCGGTGTGTATGCAGGTTTTTGGGATAACCTTTAGGTCAGCTGTTCAAACCCAGGTGTGAGTTCAGCCAGTCAGTCCTCTAATTAGTAATTAGTAAAAAAAAAGACAATGTGTTTGATACAAGTAAAACTTTTCTTTATGGATGAAGTACTGACCTGATTCTTAAGGCTGAGCAGAAGCACAACAATGTGAAAATATCACCATAATGTCGGCATGACCTACTTGCATAAAAGGTTTAAAGAAGATCATGAAATGTGCTTCCATCGGCTGACATTCTTTCTTAGTGGTGGCCACTTCATGAACACGGCTGAGAAGATCCGGCTGCCGGACGATTGCACGGTGGGCTACATCGTGGAGTCCGTGCTGGGTGTGGGGCTCATCCGTAGCAGCTTGTTCCACTCCCACCTGGAGAATCTGCAACAGGTGCCCAAATCAGAGCTGCATAAACAGGTAAGAACTCGCTGCAGCGAGGCAACAAACACAGAGGACCTTGCAGAATTACTGGCATAAGTTCTAAGTGGTGTTTTGTTTTCTCAAGGTTACACTGAGTTATGGGATGTTTGAGAACAAGAAGAATATCATTAACATCAATGGGGATTTTTCAGTGGAGGAGGACCCATCAAGGTAAGAGACCCTATGGCATTTGTTCTTCTCAACTGATGACACTGAATTTAGCAAAGCAAGCATTGCTGACACTGGAGACTGTGGTGGGCTAAAGCTGAATTTCACTTTGGGGCCTCCCCATCAGCATCCATACTGTAGGCATTCCGTGATTCAGGGCTGGAAGCCATGGAGATATTTTCAAACCCTATTAATTTCATTTTCCTTCTTCCCTCCCCTAGGTTCAAATCTGTCCACTGTTTGTTGTACCCAGACACCCCTTGGTGCCCCTCCCACGTTACCTACTAGTGGTGATGACCCACCTCCTTGGTATCCTCGTCCCGGACGGCCTCGGTATCTGAAAGGCCAACGGGACCTGTTCAGTGCAGGACCAGCGTGCCTGCTGTCGTTTTGGTTGCGGCGGCATGCGGCCTGCATTAAATTTATCGGGCTGCTGTGCGGCCCACTTTTTTCAGCTTTGGACATTTCCTTCCTCGCCGGTCTCCGCGATTCCCGCTCCACCCAGGAGACAAGCGAGTGGAACCGGCAGGAAGAGGGATTCAGCATTACATAGGCAATCAAATGCACTTCCTATGTTGTAAATGTTGCCGATCTACTTGCTATTCTCATAGAATGCACATATATATTTATATTTATATATATCCCAGTGTCATTTGCCAGCTATTATGTGCTTATTTTTCCTAATTCTGGTTCCCATGGTTACACACATTATAGTCACTATATTACTTTTTGTATTGGGTGTTCTTCAAGTCTTTTTGAGGTATTCCATTTGTTTGTGTCCACAAACCAGGGAAACTTCCGCTTGATGTTCAGTAGACTCCGGACAAAACCCACTTATGTGAAGATGTGTTTCCTTTTGCATTTATTAGTGTTATTCTTGTTAGCTGCCAGTTCTGTAGATGTAACCTTAGGTTGTTTATGGCTTGATCTGAGGTACGTCACTGTAAAGCACTTTTGCCCTTTACCGAGTTTATGTTGGTTAATGAATTATGAGGATGAAATGTTAAAATTTCAAAAAGGGCCAAAAGAAAATGTTATATAATAATGCCATTTAATACGTTGCTTCAAAAACAATCATGGCAAAAGAAAACTGTATTATACATGTAAAAAAGTTTTAAAAATATAAAAAGTGGTGTTTTACATAAAAAAATATATATACATATTATTCAAAGATTTATATGTGGCCTTGTGGCCTCATTAGACTGTGGTACAAAACTGCGGTATTTCTCCTGTAAATGATCTCATGTTGGGCCGCATGAGCCTCAGCTAATTAACATAAACTGAACAGCCCTGCGGCCTGTTCGTAACTGGATCTATCACACCAGTGACTAATAGTTCAAATCAATGGCAGCTGACAACGCCGACATCCGATTCTCAGATCCCGTTTACAAGCTCTCAGAATTTTTTGTTTGTTCAATCTCTGCTGAAAGCGCCTTGTTCTATGTTGACAGTAGGATCTTAATCGCTCATCCTTAAAGCAGGTCGGTGGGGTGGTGTATTCTGTTTTGTGAAACTGTGAAGTGACCGGGCTGCCATTGTGAAACGGGACCTTTCTGAAGCAGCTCCGGTCGTCCATGTCCTGCGTAAATGACCCACAATGGGTGTGAATGTAAATCACTATTGAAAGCAGTATTTCTGTACTGTGCTTCTTTTGCCCCTTCGGATGACTGTGTGTGTACATAAATTTATAAGACTGTTTATGTTGTATATGCAGTTTGCTTTTTGTGGATCAGAATGCTTCTGGCGACTATCAGAAGACCGTTTATCGCTTCTATTTGCATCTGTACCTGTAAATTATGCTCCAGTATCTGGAATGCTTAACTCAGATGTGTGATGGGAAAGAATTGCTTCTCAGGGACTGTGACCTTGATGTCGTTACCATGGCAATTGCTTTGGGCACCATTCCTTCGCTTTCAATAAAGAGCATACTTGCCGAGTCTGTTGGTCTTCTCACTTTCTTTAGTCTCTTCTCTTTTTTGATCACGTGATCCCCGACTGTCCAACCAGCATGCTTCGGTTCAGTGGTCTTCATCTGTACAGTACAGGGTAACTGCAGAGCTACACCCATTATTTCTGAGACTAAAGCTGAACTGCAGCTTGAGCGTGTTAATGATGAATCTTCAGCGGTCACAGTAATGAAGAATCATGAAAATATTACCATCCATCCATCCATTATCTATACTGCTGTATCCATCTGGGTTGCGGGGAAGCTGGAGCCAATCCCAGCATATTACCAGTAATAATAATCCCAAAATATTACCAGTAACAAGCAAAAAAAAAAATCAAATCTTTTTTTATAGGTAACTGGATCTGACCTCCACAAAATCCCACAACCTGAGGGTTGTATTACAAAAGTAGCAAGGGTGGGATACAAATGTCAGATTCAAGAAGCTCACAGATCAGTGGTTCTCAATTGACTGACTCAGACCTCTCATTTTTCCTTGGTCACAAGTCATGACCTAAAAAAGGGGGATAAAAATTTCGAAAGCTGTTGGGGGACGACAGTAAAAGTTACTTCTTAAAAACCACACACTCTGCCATCCAGTGAAAATGAGAAATACTGGTGTAGGCTGCACAATTCAAGGTTAAGATAATCTGCTAACCTCAAAGCAACTGCATGTCTAATATCAGGCAGCAAAATCACCCCAAAGACACACGTCACAGGCAGGCAGTTTTGGACAGTCTGCTTTGCACCTCCAAGGATGGGACAGCTGGTCCATGGTCCTCATCGGCTCGCCCAGCGAGGTCTTAATTTTCCACCACCATTGAGTGGGAAATCTCTCTAATCTGGCATGTTTCTCCAAACAGGAAGTTGGTCGCAGAGGTCTGGAAGAGGAGGCGGCCAGCTGTGCCTGTGAGTAAGTGGGAATGCCGACTGACAGATACATATCGCGGCTGCGGGATTAGTGCCCCATTAAAGAGCACTTGTGGGGTTTTAATGGGACTCACGTTACAGGGAGCCCCAAGCGAGACACAAAACCAAGGAGCTGCTGTGTCACATCACTGCTGGGCACGTAAGGTGCTGCTTCTACAGCAGGAAGTGCCAGATTACCCAATCTGTGCCAACTGAAAAACACATGTAACAAAATGCTCTAAACCTTTAACCTAGGTGGCTGTTTCGGAGTTCCTAAGATTCTAGAAGCATCATATCTGGCACAAACAATCACACCATGTTAAAAATAACTTCTAATGCTGAGCTTGACCCTGTTTTCATGCTGCATATTTTCTGCTGCAGGCACATAACTCAAAGGAGTAGACTGTAGGCATTAAGAAGCAGGTCTACCTAATTAAGCAGCCACTGAGTGTATATATATTTTAAAATACATAATGAATTGTAGTTTATAATGAGATCTTTCAGGTGTAATATTTAGCCTGGAACTGAATCAAACTTTTGAGAGGAAAATACAGAAATTGCTTTTCTCACAGGCAGTTGCCAAAACAATTCAGCTATGTTACAGCAAATTTAAATGGATGGGATTAAGCGCAAACACACTGTGCAATGCCTTTGAGACTGGACTGTTGGTTAAGTATGCATGGGATAGAGTCAGTGAATAGTGTTCGGGATACACAGGCAAAGAAATAAAAGAACGATCCATTAGTCCAGGGGTGGCCGATCTTATCCAGAAAGGGCTGCTGTGTATGCAGGCTTTCGCTGCAATTCCCTAATTACTGTAGATTACTAATTAAAGGACTGATTGGCTGAAGGGTCCTCACATCTGGGTTTGAACAGCTGACCTACAGGTTATCCCAAAAACCCGCATACACACCAGCCCTTTGCGGATAAGATTGGCCACCCCTGCATTAGATGCAAATGAGGAAAGTGAATGCCTGACAACAGCGGAGAAAGTGCAAAGTGCAGCCCTAGGGCTAACGTCCTTGGCCCGACGCAGACTAATTACTTCTTCATTGAACGGACAGAGAAAAAGGGAAATATTAATTCCATGAGAATCAGGCACTGCCAGTGCCCTGGGATATGCAGCTACTTTTTTATTGCACAGCAAATGTGAGGCTGAGGAAGACAGAACTGGATACTGTTGAGGTCAATGGTGACAAGTTGTCACAGAAAATATAAGTGATTACATAATAGCAATTACTGTTACAGCAAAATAGTAATCTTTATAACAAGAGTGTCTCATGGGTAATTTAATAAAACACTAGCTTCTGGGCCTGTTTAATTGTTATTTTTTTATTATAAAGTCAGGAGATCATTCAGTTCATATTTTCCCCTTATTCAGTATGGAACCTGCAATCTTTCATATTGCTGTGTAGCTGAAAATAACAGCACACACTCCTGCCAGCACTCAGCATTTAGACTGGAGCAGGTTAAAAAAAAAAAAAAAAAAAAGAAACTTTACCGTATCCAGTTTTGCTCTCAAAGGCAGGACACTAGCATTTATCATGGATATAGCGTCTAGCTTGATCCAGCCCTGGTGCACTGCAATCGTTCCTGTTATTGCTGTGCATTCTACAGTATACGTCTGAGGCAATATAGTTATTACATGCAGAACACTGGGCGTGTGCATAGCACTACTTCAGGGGGCAAAAATACTTAGTAACTGAGTTACTGCTGCAATACAAATAAATACAGCAGCTACTTGAAATAAAAGATGCATCATGATTCATTAATGAACAAGCATGAGATCAGCATTTCACATGTGTTGCTCATTTTTTGTTCTTCAGTAGTTCACACAGGTTTACAGAATTAGATATAGTAACAAAAAAATAAATAATAAAAGATAAATAAATAAAAGATGCGTTACAATTCATTAATGACGAATGAACATGAGATGTAACTAAGACTTAGTTTGTGGTTAATTAATACATAAGTAATAGCATAATAGTACATTATTTTCCCCCCTCAAGTAAAAAGTGTTACTAGGGTGTGCATAGGGTTACATATCCCATAAAAATTCAGCTATTGCTGAATTATTTTATTACAGAATGTGAACTTATTACATTATAATGACTTGGCTGATTCATTTTTTATTGTCATTTTTTATTTTTAGACTGGTACCTTTTTGCAAGATTATACAATGCAACGCTACAGGCATCTGCTATTTAGCTTAAGATTCCTGAAAGTCACGTTTTGCTTAGATAATATTCTGAAATTCTGTATTTAAACACCTCTGAGTTTTGCTTAAATGTGCTGTCAAAGGAGCCATCTAACATTTGGCGCAGAGTTAAAACATCTATATCCTTTTGCTTTGAGAAGGTGTCCTGGATCTGTCAAAACACCTCACTGGATTTTAAGAATATTTCCCACTCAAGCTTGTGAGGTCAGTTAACAAGTGCTAACATTCTTCTTGGTTAATGTCTGTAAAGAGAAAAGTAAGATCCCTGGGGCTATATTTCATGAGTATAAGGAGAGAGAGAGAAGGGTATAGAGCTACATCACAATTGATCTATTCATCTATCTATCTTCTAACCTCATATTCTGGTCAGGAGCATGATGGGTGGGGTGGGGTGGGCACGAATCCTGGGCAGCACAGGACAGGGGTATTTCGCAATGCAGTGCCAGTCAATCGCTGCATGCTGACAGACTCCCTGTGAAAATTTAAGCAATGGATGATAAAATAGTACAAATGTAAAACAAAACAAACAAAGTCAATAAAAATGTCCTGGTTAAGTCCATTGGTCAGATATGCCTCTGTTAGTCTCCCCATAAAAACCTCACCATACAGATGCCTCCTATGGCTCCTGACAGCTTTAAGTCCCACAGACATATTATTACTGAATTAAACTAAAGCAGCTGTGTGATTGTGGTTATATTTAATGTGTGACAATAATTTCTTTAGGAGGTAGATTTCGGGGGGGGAGGGGGGAGGTTAATGTTATGGAGTATGTAGTTGCTAACTTTGCGGTTTTTACTTCTCTAAATGTGAGAAAGAATCGGTTATTTTTCCGTTCCTGATCAGAAGAGCAGGCCTTCCCACCTCCTCACGCCTTATTTGCATGCAAAGCCACAAAACTCTTCAATCCACCCTGATTTCGGTCAGCGGCGTCAACTGAGTACAAACAGTCTCTTATGCCAATGACTGCTTTTCACTGCACCACCCAAAACGTAGGCATCGGGTCTCAATGCAGAATAATAATTTGCATATTAATATTTCCTTCTGTTTACACACAAACACGCTCCCTCTGTGCGGTATGTAACAACAATCACTTGAAACACAAAATCGTACTTTTCTGAAAGTTGAGGTACACGTGCCTTTCGGTTTATTCTGCTTCACGCCTTGTGAAAACACCAGTCTTGAGGGAATCGATTGCCTGAAATATATTCTGCTCCTGACTCTTCACAGAAAAGCACATAAGCACTGGGCATACCTAACAATCCACTCTGCTCTCAACGCTTAAAACCCAGCATTTCGGAGCGCCTGTGCACAATCATTTCTGAATAATATGGATTTGGCTTTAACACTCAAATATATGGATCAGAGAAATTTCCAACCACGGTATTGCTCCCCTTTTCTTGCACTACTAGGCTTCTAAATATTTTTTACGCTAGAAAGCAAATCTATTAGGAAATGTAAAGGTCTAATGATAATCTAATGTACTCCTGAATAAAAGACATACTGTATATTAAAGCACAAAAAAAAAAAATCTCAAAATGCTAAGCTAATGCTACAGCAATATGACTCAGGGTTAAACTTCCACGGAGGATTTGGAAAGCAGCAGTTAAGGTGACCTATCAGGCTGCACTAAGGAAGCTGATAAAAGGGAATCATTGACAGAAGCGTACATGTTGTGCATGTCTGCTTATGACTCATCTGATTATTATACATTTCTAAGAAAAAAGATGAACTACAGATTAAAAGTGCCCTCTAGCATTTTTTTGATCCCAAGTGAACTCTCAGTGTGTACCTGAGAGTACCTCAGTGTTTTAAGAAAGCAAAAAGGCAGCCGTAGCGAATTTACCCAAAGTAGGGTGACCAAATCTTG